CTGTAATTTAAGCAGTCCTTTCTTGATGAGTTATACGTGAGTTCTGAGAATACAACCCAGGTCCTCAGGCTCTCAAGGCAAGCACTTTACTGACATAGCCCTTTTCTTGACAAAGTTGTGTTGAGAGGTCTAGCTATGGAGCCTGGAACTGAAACTAGCAGTACTATGTAGTTCATGCTGGCTCAGAACTGACAATCATCCCACCTGAGTGTTAAGCTGCAGCATGCACCACCATGCCTAGCTGGTCTTTAGGATTTTTCTACAGATAAGATTATCTCATCTGAAAATGTAGGTTCCTCTTGATTTATTGGACTGGCCAAATGGTTAGAATAATGCTGTATACAGGTAGCAAAAGCAGATGATATCCTTGCCTTACTTCATATCTTAGGGGAGAATTTTTTTTTTTTTTAAATATGAAGTCAACTAAACTTTTTCTTTATGCTCTTTGTAAGGGTGAGAATGCCTTTTCTGTTCCTAGATTAATATTTCTATAATAAATAAAAATAATATTTTAAATATTTTATAATATAACTAATATAAAATGATATTTTATAATAATAAAAATATTGGGAACTGAGGAGTTAAATCAGTTGGTAGAGTATTTGTTTACCATTCATAAGGCCCTAGGTTCTAACACATGAAAAGGACGAGGGTGTGGTGGTGCAGGTGGGAAGATCAGAAGTTCAATGTCATCCTCCACTACTCAGTAAGTTAAGGTCCAGCCTGAACTTCATGAGTATTTCTCAAAAATGCATATATATGCATATATACATACAGATGTATATGTTTTTGTCAAATGCTTTTTCTGACTATAACTTTGTCTCTTATTCTACTTATATGGTGGTGTATTATACTAATAGCTTTATAAACTTTGCCTTCCTAAAACAAATTCCTCTTGATAATACTTCACGTGTGGGTGTCCAAAGAGGCCAGACCCTTAGAGCTGGAGTTACAGGTTGTGAACCACCTAACACAGAGGCTGAGAATCAAACTGTGGTCCTCAGGAAGACCTTTAACCCTGACCCACCTCTCCGGCCCCGGCACAATACTTTCGATATGTTGATAAATACGATTTGTTAGGGTCTGTTGTTGTTGAGTATTTTTCTGCCCATACTCACCATGAATATTGGTAATTTTCCTTTCTTGGAATGTTCTGCCTGGTTTTGAGCTGTCATCTCCTCTTACCAAGAGTTTTCCCTGAAACATTTGCAACTTCATAATGGGTTTCCTTAATTTTCTATGCTTGGGAAATAAACAACAAATAAAAAAAAATGCCCTCAGGAGTAAAAGCTGACTTGATGTTCATTTCTCTGAAAGATTCTGTTTCCTTCAGTTTCAAGACCTCTGTATCCATTACTCTATTCTGGTATTCTCTTCTTGATAACATTTCAGGCAGGTTCTTCTGAACCCTCTCTTCAACTAGGCTTCAGTTAAGGCCCCTGTCCTGTGTTTGATCTGCCCAACTCAGCCTTAGCAAGTATCCAAGAATCTTGCTAACTTTCATGTGCCCTCTTAAAAGTTTCCATCTGTTGACTCTTTGACTTTGGTTTTTGGCTACAAATTCCCAGCTAGCTTCGCTGAATTCACAGCTGAATCTGATTTTCTTTTCTGTTATAGTGCCCCATTGTACCAGTCTTAACAAAAGTCTTCCTTGGTGTTTTATATTTTTGTTTTTTATTTTAAAGATTTATTTATAATGTATACAATGTGTGTTTGCATGTATACCTGCATGCCAGGAGATGGCACCAGATTTCATTTTAGAGGGTTGTGAGCCTCCATGTGGTTGCTGGGAATTGAACTCATGACCTCTAGAAGAGCAGCCAGTGCTCTTAACCTCTGAGCCATTGCTCTAGTCCCCTTGGTGTTTTATTAAGTACCACAATAATCTTTCCTTCAGCAGTGCCCCCACACAGGTCTTTTATCTATTTTTCATATTTGATTAGTTGTAGGTGGGAAAATGAGCCAGAAGTGAGTTGCTATCTTGTGACAGGGCCAGACAGTGCAGAGGTTCTTCCATCTTGTATTCTTCCTGAGGCCATTACAGTTTCAACTAAATCTGCTCTCCTCAATAAAGAATCCCATGGAAAATTACCAAACCTTTATTCTAAGAAACAAAGGCCAGGATGTCCTGGATAACATAGCTTCCGTTAACCTGCCTGTCTGTGCAGAACCCCCTCCAGCTAACTGCTTATCTTACCTTGTGTAAAACTGCTTGCTTACCAGGAACTCCCTACCCACCAGCTGCCTGGTGAGATGCCAGTAAGTGACTTTTGCCTTTAAAACTTCAAAAACCCTGTGCTCTGGATACTTTGGGGCCACACCTAGGTTCACAAAGCTGGGTGTGGTCCTAGTCAGCTAGAATCCAGATTTTTAAAAAATGTTTATTTATTATGTACACAGTATTATGACTGCATGTACACTTGCATGACAGAAGGGGGCATCAGAAGTGAGCCACCATGTGGATGGTGGGAATTGAACTCAGGACCTCTGGGAGAGCAGCCAGTACTCTTAATCTCTGAGTCACCTCTCCAGTCCTGGAATCAAGATTTTTAATTGGCTATAAATTGTGTCCGAGTGGTCACCTCTGGTGTGCTACCCATAATATTATTGCTAAACCTAAAAGTCTATTTCTGTACCAAGAATGCATTGTTTTAAAACTTCTTTTACAATTGCAATTAAAAAAGAATAATGGACATATAAGTAATGGCTCAAAGAAATCACCAAGGGGGTTGCAAGACAGAGAGAACGAAATGGCAGAAAAGCAAGCAGATTTTATGTGACAGTCATCAGGGTAGGGAATCAGAGCTGATATTGTTTGGACTGATTGGAAACTTATTGAAAAGGTTAAGAAAGATTCCAGGAGAGCTTTTAATTTTTATTTTGTTTTCTCGGGCCAAGGTTTCTCTGTGTAGCACTGACTGTCCTGGAGTTCACTCTGTAGACCAGACTAGCCACAAACTCAGAAATCTGCCTACCTCTGTTTTCTGAGTGCTGGGATTAGAGTTGAGAGAGTGTCTGTGTGTGTGTGTGTGTGTGTGTGTGTGTTTCACCACCACTGCTCAGCAGGTTCCTGGTGGATTAAGGGAGATTCTTGGGGAACAGCAACTGCTTTAAGAGATCTGCTTTTCTAGTACATAGAAACCTTTAGGCTTGTTTACCCAACAATTCTACTTACCCAAATTTCTTCTGTTTAGAACAATATTACCAGCACTGCCACCTGGGAATAGTGGGCTTTGTATCTGACAGGAACTAGTTTTGTGTTTTTTGTTGTTGTTGTGTTGTTGGTTGGTTGGTTGGTTTTTTTAAGACAGGGTCTCACTTTGTAGCCCTGGCTGGCTGGGAACTTGCTTTGTAGATCAGGTTGGCCTGGAACTCAAAAGAGAGCTGCCTGCCTCTGCCTCCTTAGTTCTGGGATTAAAGGTATGGACCACTGTGCCCTGCCCTCTCTGTAGTTTTTTTTTTTTTTTTTTATCATTTATTTTTGTGTGTCTGTACATATGCTGGAGCACCACAGCTTGGATATATAAGTAATGGCTCTGTGGGCTGTTTTTATTTTAATTTATTTATGAGACAGGGTTCTCTGGAATTCACAGAGCTAAGTTAGCTCCTGTCTCATAGGATCAAAGGTATGCACCACCATACCCACCTGTTCTTAAATTACATTTTATAATTAGAGGGTGGGTGTATATGTCAGCATATCTAGAGGTCAAAGGACAATTTACAGGAGTCAGCTCCCTCCTTCTACTATGTAGGTCCTGGGGATTAAACTCAGGTCAACAGGCTTGGTGGCAAGTGCAACTGTTTTGTTTTTTGTTTTTCTAGACAGGGTTTCTCTGTGTAGCCTTGGCTGTCTTGGAACTCCCTCAGCAGACCAGGCCTGCCTCTGCCTCCTCAGTGCTGGGATTAAAGGCGAACACCACTACTACCCAGGCTTCTTCTTTTTTTTTTTTTTTTTTTGCAACTGTATTTTTAAAGTCCTATAATAGATCATTGAATTGTACACATTTAAAAATTAATAATAGAGTTTTTTCAGATTATTTTCAATCTCCCTAAAAATGGACATTAAAATACGGAAATTAAAAAAAAAAAAAAAAAGGTTGTTCTGGTATCTTGCTTTTGTTTTCAAAGAATCAGCTTTCATTTCTTCTCTAATCCCACTACAAAATCCAAGTTTAGGGCTCTTAGAGGTTTTGGTTTTGTTTTGTTTTTTTTTTCCCAACTAGTCTTACCTGGTAAAGAAACATTTTCTGGGTCTTTTTTATTCTGCCTCTAAGGACTGACTTATCTCAGGATCAGTTTATTACTGCAGGGTTCAAGAAAGGTTCCCACATAATGACAACCACATAGAAACACTGCCTGAAAGAGGATTTACTTAGCTGGCAGTGCCTTTCCCATTTGTTTTTGAGGAGAGAGGAGCTAAGACAGGATCTCAGTTTGCAGCCCAGGCTGAGCTCCCACTTGCAGCAAAGTTCACTGCCTCGGCTTCCATTTCCCTGGGATCACTGGCACGAGCAAATCTCAGCTCAATTCTTTGGGTTCCACAGGTTGGTTTGTTCTGCTCAGGCACTGGAAACAAGGCCTGGGAGACGGCTGAGCAGGAAGGGCCTCGACAGCTGACATGGAAACGGAGGAGGAACTCTTCCCACGGGGCGGAGTGCGGCCTGGACAGACCAGAGGGGAGCCGAGGGACCTGCAAACCTGGGGAGAGACCGGTGGGGTTCCACCGCGGCGGTGACGGGGCCACGGTCCCATCTTCCGGTACGTTAGGGCGTCGTCCCTCCACAGCCTCCCTCGCAGTGCCCTCGAGGTCCTCGCACTTCCAGCTTCTCCACCAACAGGGCTGGGGCCGCGTCCGCGCGCGCGCCAGAAAGGGAGAAGCAGGGTGGACCCCGCCGTCCTCCCTCCCCTCCCCTCCCGCTCAGCCACGCCGCCCCGCGGGAGGGCGGAGGCGCGCGGCCGGAAGCGCCTTTCCCGGAAGGCGAGGGGGCGGCGCCGGCCTCGGGGCGGCTCGACGATGGCGGCGGCGCGCCGGGCGCTCGCCCCCTGAGCAGAGCCGCTCAGCGGAAGGATGGCCTCGCTCGGGTCAGCCGCGGCGGGGGAGCCGGCGGCCGGGGCCGAGGCGGAGCTGGGTCCTCCGGCCCCGCCGCCGCCCCCGCCTCCGCCGCCGCCGCCCGCTCCGTCGCCGTCGGCCCTCGGGCCGCTGCTGCCGCTGCAGCGGGAGCCGCTGTACAACTGGCAGGCCACCAAGGCGTCGCTCAAGGAGCGCTTCGCCTTCCTCTTCAACTCGGAGCTGCTGAGCGATGTGCGGTTCGTGCTCGGCAAGGGCCGCGGCGGCGCGGCCGCCGGGGGCCCGCAGCGCATCCCCGCCCACCGCTTCGTGCTGGCGGCGGGCAGCGCGGTCTTCGACGCCATGTTCAACGGCGGCATGGCCACGACGTCGGCCGAGATCGAGCTGCCGGACGTGGAGCCCGCCGCCTTCCTGGCGCTGCTGAGGTGAGCGGCGGGCGCGCGGGGCCGGCGGCCTTGGGGAACCGGCCAGCCGGCCTCCCCCGGTTCCTCTCTCGCCGGGATGCCCGGGAGGGCCGGCCGGCCGGCGGCGGGCGCTCCGCCGGGGAAGGGCGCTGGCGTAGTCCGGGGCCCGCCCTGTGGCCCGGGCTTGACGAGCAAGCGGGCAGGGTCGAAGACGGCGCAGGCCGGCCCGAGCGCCCGCTCGCCGGGTTGGTTTTTGTCTGAAGGACGCGCCAGCTGATAGGGACTGGGAGAACTGGTGTCTTCAGGCCCGTCGCGATTTGTTGTCTAGACTCCCGAAAGTAATAGCAGGTTAACTGGCTGGCCTGCTTCGGAGATGGATAGCTCATTAGCTTTCTTCGGTGGAAGGGAGTAGCATTTTGGCGTTCATAGCTTTTAACCCCAGCAGTCCTGTCCGGGAGGGAGATCGGGCTGTTTACCCCAGTTTGACAAATGGGAGCCAGGCCCAGAAAAGTAACTCGTCCAAGGTAACGGAGTCAGCTCCCAGAGGACCATGTGTGTTTCATTATACGAAGATGGTTTTGGCTGCCTGAATGATGTGTTGTTTTTAAGCTGGCAGTCTTGAGTAACTCTGATGTAAACAGGCAGGTCCTTGGAACACAAGAGTCCACAAAGGTCCTCAGCTTCATCAGGAAGATGCATACAGAGTGAACTATGAAGTTCACACAAGAAATAAATCTTAAGTCCCCATTAGTACATGGATAAAAAACGATAAATAGAATAGGAAAAAACACAAGTCCAGGACGTTTAACCTCATTACTAAATAAGGAAGTGCAAATTAAAACAGTGAAGTACTTTCTCATTTTCATCAGCCCCACCAAATTGTTTTGTTTTGGGTTTGTGTTTTTATTTTCTGGGACAGGGTCTGATTATGTAGGCTTGGCTGACTTGGAGCTTGGTATGTACGCCAAGCTGTCTTTGGACTCAGCCTACTTTCAGTCCCTTAAGTGTGGCCCACCATTTTAAGAGATGACTGTCGGAACACTTTCTGACAAAAATATTCATAAAAAGCCTTTGAAAAATAGTCGCGCAGTTTAGATTTGTACACTTAGGAAACATTAAGTTACCGAAAAATATCTCCATTAGCATTCTTCACAGTAATGTGGAAAGAAGTCAGGCCAAGGGAATAAATAGTTTGATAAACAATAATGGGTCCACTTGATGGAATATAATGCATTCACTGTGAAAACCAGGTAATACTAGGGGAATGTTTTATGTTAGCATTTTGAATTTTGTGCAACATAGTAACAACTGAAAAGGAATGGAACAAACGTTATATACCTGGAGATGGGCTACAGGGACACAACAATTCGCCAAGTAAGTGTTGTTGAACTGGAAAGCTGATAGTACCTTTAGTACCTTTGTCTCTTCCGCTCACAGAATTTCCAGCTTTTAATTTACTTGCATTTGTGGGGAGAGATGTGCAGCCTAATGGGTTTGGGTCATTTGGATTCTGAAGCTGACCAGGAAAACTGGATATAGCTTTCCTAGATTATGTAGTTCAGTACTGTCTTTCTTAAAATGATAGTCCAGGAAGATGGCTCAGTGGGTAAAGGCTTTTGTTAGCAAGCCTGAAGACCTGAGTTAGATACCTGTAATCCATGTGATGAAAGGAGAGAACTTCAGCAAATTGTTCTCTGACCTTCATGTGTGTACTGCTGTGTGTACATGCAGGAACAAAAATACAAAAAAAAAAAAAAAAAAAAAAAGATTCTTTGGCTACTTGCACGATGTTATGTTTGTAGAGCTCTCCTTTTGGTATCATTTGGAGGTGAAACCTTTTAAGCATTTTTAATACTTTTCCTAAGTGATAGTTATACTGGCTAAATTTGAGAACTATCAAGCTAAAACTATTAGGGACTCTTATTGATAGTGCTAGAATAAAATTATGAAAGGGCTCTTTCATACTTTTGTTTTTAACTCATATTTTCATCAAATATCAGTTTTAATAAGAAATAAGTTATTTTAGAGTCCTTGAATCTCATTTTTTTGCTTTTGGTAAATTATATATTTTCATGATATTCAGGTTCTGGTCATTTTTCTCTTCTGAAATGAATGTCTAGACTAATTTTTACTTAGGCATTGATTAGCTTTGAAACATTGGTATCATATTTAGTATTGTGTGACAAGTCTTGTGGTGCTTGCTAAACTGGAAAAGTAAGGTAGCTGAGGCATTTTTTTTATTGCTTTTACAATCTTAATTATTTAACATTACGTACAGGCTTATGAACTTAGGTTTTAAACTCTTTAATAAACTGCTCACTTAAAGCTCTCTCACTTATAAATGATGTTCATTTAACAAATACTGTGTCTCTCTGTGCAGCTTTTTCTTTTTTTTTTTTTTAGTGTAGGAGTTAGCAGTGAACAAGTAAAAGTCCCTGCTCTCGAAAAGGGAATAGTTACATAAGGGGAAATTAGGCCATAATATCAAGACTAACTGTTTGAAGAGAAATGATCAAGCCGTAAGAGAAAGCTTCCTAAGGAGGGGGAGGGTCATGCTTTAGTCCTTAACTGTGTCCTGTTAGAGAACCTACAAGAGTAAACCAGTGTGGTTTGAGCAGATAAAAAGAAACTACTAGCCCGTAATAGTGGGAAAAGACAGCCCAAGCAGGCTTTGAGAGACTGAGGAAGGACTTTTGACTTCTCCTCTGGGACAGAGAAAACTAACGGAGGGTTTTCATGGAGTGCTGTGATGCTATTTACACTTTAAAAACTCGTCTGGCTGTTGCTGGGAGATTCGATAGGGCAGTAAACTGGGAAGCAGGCTGATAAAGAGGTTTTCCTGTCTCTACTTAGATGAGAGATGATGGTGAGCTGCCAGGGAGGGAGTGATAGGATAAGTGGTCAAATTCCGGTTATATTTTGAAGGTGGAATCAGAGAAAGTTAAAAATGAATGGCATTTAAAAGGATTTAACTTAATGAAATTAACTTGGGAAAGAAGTGGATTGTGAAACAAGAATGTAAAGTACAAGGATGAAAACCCTGTGATCTTGCAGCTCGGAGAGATGTAGGAAGGGAAAGGAAGCATGAAGCAAAACAGGCAGCTGTCAGTGAACTGAGAAAAGGAAATAGGAACCTGTTATCCAGTCAAAGAAAATATTTGGAAAATGAGGATAGAAAAATTTGTTAGCTGTGGAAAATGGTCAGCTGTGTTAACTGGTACTGAGTGTTTTGAAAAATGAAAATGAATTCATGGTGGTGTGATAAGACGTAAGCTCTTGATAACCCTGGGGAGGGGGAAACAAAACGGTAATGCGCTCTTACTAACGATTCCTGCATTCTGCACTCCCTACCCACACACCGTTGTCACTCTAGCACTCATGTCACCATCATTTCTCTCTGAATTGTTTAGGGACTTCTGTTTGTTGGATGAAGTTTAATACTTTACAGGTGTTAAAGGCCATTGTGATATGATCACTTTGTCCCTTTTTGTCTATCCATTCAGTGTCCCCACCTAATCACTGGTGGCATTTTCCTTATTTTAATGCCTCCCTGCCAAGGCCTCTTCCAACTGTACAGCCGCTATGCAAAAGACAGTAATTATTAAGCTTCAGTTAATCATTTTAAGGCTTACTTTTTTTTTTTATTAAATCAGTTTCCTTCCGCTACAGGCAAATTTGTACACTAGGTCATTTAATCTTAGCATGTTCTGGTTGCACATTACCCTAGAACAAACCACTCACTACCTAGTGGTTTTAAAGTCGTTTCATTATCACCAGAACTGTGTAGGTTGATGGGATCACCCGATTGTTTGGCACAGCTTTAAGGCTTCATGAATTGATTTCAAATAGCATCTAGGGTGGCGGGGGTGGGTTGGGGTGGGGGGTCATGTCATATGGAGGGTTTGACTCGGATTCTGGGATGATTTTTAAATAGTTTGAGGCTCTTCCTTTCCTTGTACCTTTCTAGCTGGTCATTTCAGTAAGCTTGATTTCTTGGACAAAAGTAGAAGCTCCCAGGTATTCTTAAAGTGTAGGCTCTAACCTGATATATTTGCTCTGCTTCATTCTGCTGATGAGTAATGGGAATCATGCGAACCAGCCGAGACCTATGTAATAGCACTAATAGCGGAAGGCATGGTTTAATGTGGGCTTCCTAAGCGAATAGTTATTGTATCTTAGTGCCTGATTGATACTTCTGTTCTTCTGGCTTTACTTTTTGAGCATTTCATTATCAAACAGTGAACTTACTATAGACAAAACTACCTTACCCTTTCTATAGCTCTGTTACCTAATGACAGTGCCTAATGAAATACGTAAGTCCCTCAAAAATATTTTTGAATAAAATGAATTATTGAAGGAACTTCAGTTCCATGAAGTTCCTCAGGTGTGATCTTGTAGCCCCCTCCCCTTTTTTTCTAATATAAAAATCAAATTTTCAGTCTATTCTCTCAAAGCTATTTTGATTCAGGGCTGGAGGAACAGCTTGAACGGTAAAGTGGCGGCCTTGTAAAAATGAGGTTCCCAGAACCGGCATGGAAGTCCCAGCTGTTGCAGCCATGCACTTGCGTCCCAGAGCTGGGGAGGCTAATCCAGGAAGAACCCTGGTATCCCTGATCTGTTTGGCCTCATTAGTGAGCTCCAGGCCACCGAGACTCTGCCCTCAGAGGAGATGGCTTGTGTTCCAGAGGTTGATCTCCACACCCACCAACCACATATATGCAAGAACACATGTGCATATCATTTTTATTAGCAAGGTATGGTGATACACTGGGAGGTAGAGGCTTGAGGATCAGAAAGTCAAGGCCTGAAACTTGGCTACAGAAGACCCTATCTCAAAAATACCTTACATTGTATTAAATACAGCCTTGGATTTTATCTTGTTGGAGACCATCTTTGGGGTGAAGATAAAGAAGCATTCTTTGATTACATACAATTATTCCTCTGTTTTATGATCCTGTCCTTAAACGTTGTATCTGGGAGCTTTAGTTGTCCCTTTAGAATATAAAGAGTTGGTTCTATGCTATGGTGCTTGCTCTGTGAGCTTGGCAGTCTGAGGTGAGCATGTATAGGGTAAAAGGGAGAGCCAATTCCATGAAGCTTCTATTTTACCTACTGGCATGCTGTGACATGTGCCCACACACATGGACATCATGCATGTACAGTCATAAGAATTTGTGGTAGTGTCATGTTTAAGTTTTAGTTGTGTCTTAGTTTTCCTTAATATTATAAAAATTCTAATTGGGGGCTAGAGAGATAGCTCAATAATTAAGAGTACTTATTGCTTTGGTAGAAAACAGGATTTGGTTCCCAGCACCCACAGGACAGATCACCACTGCCTATAACCCCAGATCCAGGTAATCTGAGACTCTTCTGGCATTTGCAGGCACTTGCATGCAAGTGGTACACAAACACACTCAGCCTCATACACATAACAGTTTATAAATGAGTAGGTCTTTGAATGAAAAGAAATCCTACTGATTAAACATATTTCAGAGTAAAGAATCATCTGTGTCTAAATCTAAAGCCCTGCTTGCAGACAGTGTTCATCATTTTAATACCTTCTTTATTAGGGCAATTCAGCTGGGACGTTCAGCTTCACTGTTGCCATAGGTATAAGAGTTTAGATTCCCAGGTAGTTTATTTATGTAGAAACATGTATAAATGAAATATGAGCAAGACAATTCTTGGATTTTTAGGAAGTTTTCTTGTTAGAATTGAAAATACTAGCTGGGTGGTGGTGGTGCACGTATTTAATCCCAGAGGCAGGCAGGCAGATCTCTATGAGTTCCAGGACAGCCTTGGCTACACAGAGAAACCCTGTCTCAAGAAGAAAGGAAAGAAAGAAAGAAAGAAAGAAAGAAAGAAAGAAAGAAAGAAAGAAAGAAAGAAAGAAAGAAAGAAAGAAAGAAAGAAAGAAAGAAAGAAAGGAGGGAGGGAGGGAGGGAGGGAGGGAGGGAGGGAGGATAAAAATGTACCCCAAGTATTGATGTTACTTAGAAACTTTTGCCTAGTGTGTTAACTTGTATTCATTAAAACTTACACATGCCTACACCTTGTCTGGTACTGTAAGGGAAAAATTTTCCTTTCTTATTTTTTATAGTCCAGTATTTACTTTTAAATTGCAGTCTGAAAAATGATTTAAAGCATCTTACAAGAAATCTAAGGACAAAAGATAAAGTAGCACTAAATAAGGTTAATAAATAAAAGTATGTTGTGATGAAGCCACAGCTTTCATTTGTAATTGTCGTAGCAACAAATGTAAAAAAAGGAAACTTGGTTGATCAGTTACAATTCATGGTGTTTCTTTTTTTTTTTCCAGACAGGGTTTCCCTGTATAGCCTCGGACTTGTTTTGTAGATCAGGCTGGCCTTGAACAAATGGAAATCCGCTTGCCTCTGACTCTGCCTCTGGCTGGACCGCTGATGTGTGCCACCACACCCAGCTGCATGCAGAGTAATCTAAGACACAATTCTTTTTTGGACCTAGAATGTCTTCGTAGATATTTCATGGCTGCCTAAATTGGAGCTCCCAAACACAGATTCATAGAGAACTATGTACTTCAGCTCTGTGCCCTTGTCTCCCGTCTCTCTCAGCTGGAATGATTATTAAGAAATGCTAAAGCCAGTATGCTTGTTACAGAGGAGACAAGGAGAGGTTGGAATGGCCAGCCTGTAGAAGGCCGACGGTGTGCTTAGAAGTCGTGTGTAAGAGGGGAGTGGCTGAGTCTGGGACCTAGAATCCAGACCACGGAAGGGGCTGCAGCGCAGCAGAAGCTGTTCTGCTACAACTCTAGCTAGGCGTCGCCGGGAAAGAAAGAAAGGGTGGAAAGAAAGCCGAGTGCTAAGACATAGAAATTAATGTAAAGCCCCCTTACAGACTGTCTCTCAATGCTGATGATGACCAAAGGTTCTTCTGGAAGTTTGAGCAAGCTGCCTGGCGACAAATAGAACTGCTGGTATGATTTTGGAACCTCAGGGTAAAGTTGTCCTAATGGCATGAGGGGTTCTTGATCTCAGTGCTGGCTTCTCACTGTAAGACAAGGTGCTGGGCAACAGTTTCCACATACTGGGAACTTATGCCAACCTTTGCTTTTTCAAGATTTCACCTGGAAACAGACCCGCTACTAATTACTGAACTTGGAGATGTTGACCACTTGACACACAGAAAATCAGAACATGAATGACAAAGACAAACAGAACATGAATTTCAAGGAAACATGGACTTGAGGAAAAAGAAGACTTAAAATTCCTTTTAAATGTCTTGGAAACTTGGGGAAAGTTTTTGTATCCATAAAACTAACACATAAAAGTTCTGGAGGGAAGAAAAAGGAATAATCAAGAACAAAGTAGGATGCTTTAGAAATTTGAATATGATTGCTAGAAATAAAAATAGGACTAAAAAAAAAAAGAAAAAGCAATATTCTGCCAGTCATGGTGGTGGTGCACACCTTTAATCCCAGCACTGGTCTACAAAGGGAGTTCCGGGACAGACAGCTAGGGCTACACAGAGAAACCTTGTCCAGGGTGGGAAAGGAAAGAAAGATTGATTCCAAAATACAGAGGAAAACCGTTTTTTGTTTTTTTGTTTTTTTGTTTTTTGTAAGCAAATTAGATCATACAGTAAACAGCCGGCATTTACTTAAGTTTATATTTTGTAAAGCTGTACTGAAAGCTTTATGTTTTTAACTTGTGCTTATTCTCACTGCAACATTACAAATAGATACTGTTACTTTCATCTAGAGAGTCATGCCATGATAATTTGCTTAAAGCCACATCCCAGTAAATGATAGCACTGGCTCAAACCCACACAATTTATTTTTTCTCCCCTCACATATATTATTAATAGAGATTTTTTTTAGTCCACTGATACTAATAGATACAGGTCAACTGGATTATTTTATTCTTTAAGAGTCCCAGCATTCTAATCTCTGGTCACTGTGTTAATTCTGAAATGAGTATGAAAGGTTTTAAGGAAAAAGAAGGATCTGCTATCAAGAAATTAATGAATCTTTTAGCATTTGGAGATGTGATCTTAGCTAACTGTGAATGTCCTTTGATGAGGGAGACATTAGTGAACCACTGATCTTGTATTTAGCTATGGAGAGCTAAAAGGAGCCAAAGATGTATTTGTATGTCTGTCTCCTGAGCACTGTTAACCTCCCGAAAACAGAAATACTTTGAACCTCTCAGGGATAAGAATAGGATGTCAGTGCAGGTGCTTCTTACTCGGAGGTTAATTTCAGGGCTTTTTCTTTTGTTTGTTTGCTCATTAAACTTTAATTCTGATAGATTGCTTTTCTAAAACATTGCTGATCATCTCTTCAAATTTTCCAATTGCTTTTCAGGTTTTTGTATTCAGATGAAGTTCAAATTGGTCCAGAAACCGTTATGACCACTCTTTATACTGCTAAGAAATATGCAGTCCCTGCACTGGAAGCACATTGTGTAGAGTTTCTCACCAAACATCTTAGGGCAGATAATGCCTTTATGTTGCTTACACAGGTAAGTAAATGTAGCAAAAATAGTAGTGTAAAGATTGAACATAACAGATGGCATTAAAAATATATTCTTCATGCTGTGAGAGTATGATACAATGAAAATTTCTGAACATACTCATTTTTAATTTTTGCTGGATCTGAAATAAAATGGAGTATTTAATAACAGGAGTTCTAAGATTGACTATCTTTTATATCTGTGCCAACACCTGAACTTTCTTGACTCACTACTGAAGCAGTTACGATATTAGGTTCATATGAAATACTATTTATGCCCCATTAAGTACAATCCATAGAGCAAAAGTGTGCAGCCTAGTGATGTCTTTATAAACAACATAACTAAAGGACCGTTAACCATCCCTAACATGTATTATGTATCATTTTTTTAGGTGTCTTCTGACCCTCTTTAGATAAAAATAAATTATTTCTGTTTTTAGACACTGTTGTAATATCTTTGTGTGAACTGTGTTTAAAATTAGGAGTTCATACAATAGAATCCTGCTTGACATGAATCCTACATGACAACACATGCCTGTAGTTCCAGCACTCAGGAAACTGAAGCAGGGGGAAAACTTAGAGCCATCAGAAGTTTGAGGCCAGCCTGGGCAACATATTGCAACTCACAGAAACAAAGCAATATATATTCCTGTTGAGTTTTAGTACCAGATAATTACTGGTGACGTCTAGGTCAATTCTCATTTTATAAATGAGAATTAAAATCTGTTCAAATTAACTGCCTGTCTGAAGCCTCATAGTAAGTGTTGCAAGGCCCAGAGCTCAACTTTGTAGTTGTTTATTCTGTTATGTAGTAAACATCAGGTGCTTTAAAAACAGACTTCTTTATTAAATATTTGTACTTAAAGAAAGACCTTGCTGATATCGCCCTTTGTGGACATAGTTACAGATATCCACATATGCCAGAGACTAAGCTAGTAATAATAGCAAAATGTATTGGATGATGGCTGTTGAGTCAGATACCTTTCTTAAGTTGTTTATGTATTTTAATTAATCCTAATTAGAACTTCATGAAGTGTTGCTATTCAGAGTGAAGACTTACGTACCGTTAAGAAACTGAAAGTCTGCGGAGAGTTAGAGAAGGAACAATACTAGGGATGGGCAGAGGCAGAGGTGAAAGAAGTTAACCAAAGTCATAAAACAGTTTTGTGCTATTTCTTGCCTAACAACAAGAAACCATTAAGAATGATATATTGCTTAAGGAATTTTAATGTTTTGGAGCAGATTAAGTAACAACTTTTTTGTTTAGTTTTTGTGTTTTTTAGATAGGGTTTTTCTTTGTAGTATTGGTTTTCAGGCTGACCTTGAACTCACAAGATTTGCAGGGCCTCTGGCTGCCTAGTACTGGCTCCCTAGTGTGCCAAGATGCCAGGCTATGTAACAACCTTTTTGCTTTTTGAGACAGTGTTTCTCTGTGTTGCCTTGGCTGTCCTGAAACTCACTCTTGTAGACCAGCCTAGCTTTGAACTCAGAGAGATCAGCCTGTCTCTGCCTCACAAGTGCTGGGATTAAAGGCATGCACCACTACTGCTTAGCAGTAACAACTTTTATATTCTTTTTTTAAATTTATTTGTTTTTTAATTTATTACAACTTACTCACTTTGTATCCCACTGCAGCCGCCTCCCTCATCCCCTCCCAACCCCACCCTCTCTCCCTCTTCTCTTCCCATGCCCCTCCCCCCAATCCACTGATACACAGGCTCCCCTTCCCTCTGACCCTAGCCTATCAGGTCTCATCAGGAGTGGCTGCATTGTCTTCCTCTGTGGCCTGGTAAGGCTGCCTCCCCCCCCACCTCAGGGGCAGATGATCAAAGAGCCAGCCACTGAGTTCATGTCAGAGATGGCCCCTGTGCCCCTTACTAGGGAACTGAGCTACCATGGGCTACATCTTTGCAGGGGTTCTAGGTTATCTCCATGCATGGTCCTTGGTTGGAGTATCAGTCTCAGAAAAGACCCCTGTGCGCAGATTTTTTTGTTCTGTTCTCCTTGTGGAGCTCCTGTCCCCTTCAGGTCTTTCTATCTCCCCTTTCTTTCAGAAGATTCCCTGCACTCTGCTCATAGTTTGGCTCTGAGTCTCAGCATTTGCTTTACCACTCCTAGGCATATATCCAAAATATGCTCAAGTATACAACAAGGACATTTGGTCAGCCATGTTTGTAGCAGCGTTATTCGTAATAGTCAGAATCTGGAAACAACCCAGATGTCCCTCATCTGAGGAATGGATACAGAAATTGTGGTATATTCACACAATGGAATACTACGCAGCGATTAAAAACAAGGAAATCATGAAATTTGCAGGCAAATGGTGGGAATTAGAAAAAGATCATCCTGAGTGAGGTATCCTAGAAGCAGAAAGACCCACATGGTATATACTCACTTATAAGTGGATATTAGACATATAATATAGGATAAACATACTAAAATCTGTACACCTAAAGAAGCTAAGCAAGAAGGAGGACCCTGGGTAAGATAATCCCATTCAGAAAGACAAACAGGATAGATATCGGAATAGGGAAAAAAAAAAAAGACAGGGGCCTACCACAGAGGCCTCTGAAAGACTCTACCCAGCAGGGTATCAAAACAACTTTTATATTACAAATTCTGTTATTTATAAACCAAGAAACTAAAGTAGTATATTAAGGATAGTATTTTATTATTAACAAATAGTTGCTACCACAAAAATTTGTACAGAATTTATTTTTTTCTAGCTTGAAAGATTAATGTTTTGTTTGAACAACAAATAAAAATAGTCTGGCTCCCAATTAAAATGTCTGTTGATGAACTGGGCTTTAATCCTTTAATGGCATATGCCTTTAATCCCAGCATTCCAGAGGCGGGCAGATTTCTGTGAGTTTGAGGCCAACTATGTCTACATAGTAAGTTCCAGGATAACCAGGGCTACACAAAGACATAGAAACCCTGTCTTCAAAAAACAAACCAAAAATCTGTTTGATAGATTTTTTTTTTTTCACTTTATGAAAATGCACTAAATTTCTTTAAGAATGAATAAACTCTGGTTGTAGACTGGATCCTCTACTAGAAGGAAAAATGTTACAGATATAGGACCAGGTCAAAATTACAAAACTGAAATCAGCCAGCAAATTAAGGACTATTATATTAATTTAACTTTGTATTTATCAAAACCAACTACTAAAATTATATGAGAATATCCTTATTTTTAGGAAATTTAAAAGCCTAAAAATGTATGCAACTTACTCTCATGGTGCACTACCACACAAATGGTGTGTGTTTACAGAGGTTTGTATGGAGAGAAAGAATAACTAAGATGCAGTAGGAACTTTTTAGATAGGTAATCTGGATGTAGCATACATCGAAGTGTGTATGTGCTATCCTTAAAACTTTCTGTAAACTTCAAAATTCCAAATTTTATGGGAAAAATACATGAAATAGAGTTAATGCACTAATACTTTTTTATTAATGTACTAATACTTTTTTATTATTTAAACCTGATGTTAGCTAATTGACAAAGCGAATTAATATACGAAGCCCAGTGCATAATCCGAGGAGAACATTTATTCACTTGCATCTGATTTACTGAATCTGGGTTGGAGAAATGACTCAGTGCAGTGCTTGTTATAAAATCAAGAGGACATGCATTCAAATCCCTAATATCCACCTAAAAGCTGTGCATGTCACTGTGCCTCTGTAATACCAGCATTGACAGGCAGAGACAGGGAATAGCCAGCCAGCCTACCTCAGCTGCTGGACTTCAGGTTCAGAGAGACTGTTTGAAAACAAGGTGAAGAGTGATAGAGGAAAGCGCTTGGTATCTCTGGCCTGTGTGCCTGTAAGCGGGCATATACGCACACATATATGTTCACATGTACACACACATACACAGAAACTCAATTACAGAATCCTTTAATATTTTACTGGGACTAACAAGATGGCTCAGTAGTTAAAGAGCTGCTCTCATAGAGGACCTAGATTCAATTTCTAGCACCTGAATGATGTCTCAATCTTCTGTAACGCAAGTTCCAGGGGAGCCAAATCTCTCTTTGATCTGTGCAGGCACCAAGCACACACACAGTACACATACCTACATGCATGCAAAATGCTCATACACATAAAACAAATCTTTCAGAAAAGAATTTTACTTAAAATTAAGTGAAGACCTATCAGTCATGTCAGCCTAAGAGTGTCATTTCTGGTGTGATTAATTTCTTGGGTGCCTGGAGCTATGGTGCTCTAACGTTCTTATACAGCTTCCATCACAACAGGAATTGTTAAAAACAATTGTGATTTACTTTTTATTCTTGATAATTGATGTTCCAGTTCCCAGTGATGTTAAGACTAAAATGTTCCATATTGGACTGTACCCTATCTAACCAGATGATCTTACACAGACACTGCACTGTGTGCTGGTCCCTAGAGAGAGTGCGAGGGACCAGACGGAGTAACACAGCAGGAAATAGGCTGTGATATATATGCATATGACAGTAAGAACAAGATTGCTGATAATGTGAAACATTAATATTCTTTAGCCTTCCATTTTTCATTGTCAGAATTTGCATAATTAGCAATTATAGCTGTCTATGGTATCAACTTGGAATGTGCACAGCCTGAAGGGAAAGTAACTGAGAGTAAGATGACTGTTTCTTTGTATGTATAGGCGCGGCTATTCGATGAACCTCAGCTGGCTAGTCTTTGTCTAGACACGATAGACAAAAGCACGATGGATGCCATAAGCGCAGAAGGGTTTACTGATATTGACATAGGTAAGTTCCCAGTAAACAAAATGTTTGCATTTTAGGCACAGCGATATCTTGTCAGCCTTGTTGGAAAACTGTATAAATTCTTGTTTTCTCCAGATGATTGACGGTAATCTACCTCCTTATAAGTTCTGCTTTCTTTCATCCTAGCTCAGTGTGCTTCAGAAGGTACCAAATTACTAAAATTGCTCACCATCTTCATGGGATTGTACTAGAGTCCTAGAGCAAGTAAAAAGAAGAGTAAAATGTGATTTGTCTTAAATAACTGCTAGTTAGAGATGTCAAGGAACAAAATATGTGAACATTAGGGTTTTTAGCACGTTAGTAGATTAGCTAGCATGTAGCTGTAACTTGCCTTTCTAAGTAGGTACCAGATCTGTGGAAAATAATTACTTGGCAGCTGCAAAAAATTGAGACGTTACTTTAAATTGGGGTTGTGTTAGGAAAATAATGACAAAAGAGGTTCTGATATAAGCCTTAAGGAATAGATAGTACTTGGACTGGGGATATGGCTTAGTGGTAGATTGCTTGCCCGGCATGCATGAGGCTCTGTTTCCATTCCCAGCGCCACAAGAAACAAAGCCCCTGAGCAGTGAAAAATGACAGCATTAGGCATTAGAGACAGTGGAATCATATGGAGCATGTGTGGCAGAGAAGTGCTGGCAGATCGCTCCAGATGGTAGAGGACCGTGTAATGACAGGCTTAGGCTGCAGGAGAGTAAGAGAGCTAATTATGTAGCTTAAATTATCTTTTTTATGGTCAACCAAACCGTGTGTCATCAGTCCCTCTCTTTTGGAATTATATACCATATACCCTATTTGTTTCATTTGTAGATATTTAAAAAGGCATTTCAGACAAAGCAGTCAAAGGAGAAATACTAATTTACTTCCCCATGTTAGATTTCCTCCGTCCCTTTGTGGCTGTTTTTAGTCTTCACCAAGAAGCCTGATGCTCTAAAATTTTTGTATTCTTTTCTCTCGTCCACAACAGGAAGTATTTTTAAATATATATTTTAGACCTGGTTGTTCAACCGTGGAACTTAATCTTGAGTATTCTTTTCCATTTATGCCCACATGCAGGCTCACCAGTAGGAGATGCCCATGATTCCACTTTGAAAACACATCCTACATCTCACCATTTCTTAATCTGCTGCTACTATATAAGCCCATGTTCTTTCTTATTTGGATGGCTTAGAATGATGTTTATAAATGAAAAGATCAGGTTGTATTACTTCTGTTTCCACTACAGAAAGAATATAATTAGTACTTTTTAAAAGCTTAGAAGATCAGGCCTTGTTTAAGGCAGGAGAGATGAGGCTTGACTGTAGTAACAAACCCCAAAGTGCATTATGGCTCCAACACAACAGCAAGGTCATTTTGTATTTATGTAATAGTCTGTAGAGAATGTCCTCAGCAGGTAGCTCTTGGGCCTGATTATTGCCTGTGTCTTGTTAGCAGATGGGAGGGAATACCCACATGTAAAAACACTTGGCTCTGAAACAAACAACACCCTTATTTTCATTGTCAAGAATTGAGACAGAAGATCCAACTGACTTCAGGGCAAGCTAGAATGTATAGACTAGTCACTTGAGAGAACAGGATTGTAATCACCAGCTCAAGCTCAGTACAGCTGGCTGGTCTCCTGTCTCTTGTTCATTTACGTTGGACAGGATTCATTATATTTCAAGCCTCTATATTTGTTACTCTTTCTGACTGGAATCCTTTTCTCTTGTATCTTTGTATGGCTTGAGACACATTATCTCAGACCTACTTAATTAAACTAAATACCTAAACAAAATTCCTGTTCCTTTACTCTGATTTAGTTTTTTTTCTTATTTATTGCTATTTGAAAGTCTTAAGAAGGTGTTCATCGTTTTTAAGCGTTGGTTGTCTGCTTTCCTTTATGTGATGGCAGGGCCTTTGTCTGTTTACCACTGTATTTCTAGAGAAGACAGCAGAACATAGTACATATTGAGTGAATACCTGACCAGCTGCAATAGAATGGTGCCTTTCTCTCCACCTTGTGTAGTTCTCACGTAGGAAACCAGGATGATCCTTTTAGAGTGTAACTTAGCTCTGCTTATAGCACTGCAGTGAGTTGTTCAAGAACTCACACCTTACTCTTTCTCAGGACATTTGAGTGTGCTTCTCTTTTATATAGTTAATGTAACATTCCATTGTCAGTTCACCTGGTCATTGCTCAAGGCCTTTGAAGAATTTATGCTTTGTGTTTTACTGAAGGGCAAGGGCTAGCACACTGTTGAGAGGTTAATGAAGCATTGTTTAATTTTAATTGTTTTTATTAAGGGGCTGTCAAATGCTCCATTTGTTTTTCATTTGCATTTGAGTGCCTTACATGTAGCAATTGTTTTATGAGTAGCTTTTGTATTTTTCATGCCATTAGAGCCTGAGAATCTTGAAGTGTGAGTGCTTAGCTGCTTTGTTTAACACCCAGTGTTATATTATGTGTATGAATCATAAGTGGTTGTCTTTTTATCATCTTAGGCTCAGCTATACTTTTGTTGTTTGTTTTTTAGTTTTTAGAGATGGGGTTTAGCAGAACCCTGGCTGTTCTGGACTAACTTGTAGACCAGCCTGGTCTTGAACTCAAAGATCTTGTCTCTGCCTCCTGAATGCTGGGATTAAAGGTGAGCACCACCACATCTGGAGTTCAGCTATACTTTTTTACACACACTTGCCAATAGAAACCTACCAGTAGAAGGACCTGGGTTTTCCTCTTCCTGTTTCCACACGATAGGCCAATTTGCCTGACATGTATGTGTTGAACTTGGGAATTCTAGAAAAAGTGTAGGAGCCGAGAGGAAAAGGCACTGAGTTCAGGAGTTCATACAGCTGCCTTAGATTTAGGAATTCTCCTCCTCCTCCTCTTTCTCCTCCCCCCCCCCTTCCCTCCTACTGGGTTTGAGTGTGTGTTCTAAAGGAAGAGCGATATCTTAGCTTTAGGAAGAATCTTTGTTACATGGATATAACAAAATGATTTGGGGCCAGCAAGATGACTCAGTGAGTAAAGGTGCTTGCTGTGAAGCCTAATGTCTGGAGTTGGTCCCAGGACACTTATGGTAGAAGCAGAGAACCAGCTCCTGTAAGTTGTCCTCTGACTCCCACCTCTGCACTGTGGTGCCTGCATACATACAAATACACACATAAAATGTAAAAATAATTAAAATAATTCACATTGTGCTGAGGGTAGTGTGATGTGGTTTTAAGTTTATTTTTAACTCAAGTTATTAATGAATTTGATCAGTGGTCTGTTTTTGGTTGAAGAGATTAAGTAGTTCTTGTTCATTATTATTATTATTTTTTGAGACAGGGTCTCACTCTGTAGGCCATGCCAGCATGGAACTCACTTTGTAGTCCAGGCTGGCATTGAATTTGTGGTGATCAACCTGCCTGAGCCTTCAGAGCGCTAGGATTATAGCAGTTAGCCACTATGCCTACCTAATTGTGTAGTTTTTAATTTTTACTTAATTTTATTTTATATGCATTGTTATTTTACTTGTTTTTAGTTTTGGGAGGATGGTAGAACCTCCGGAACTGGAGTTATGCACTGTTGTTAGTTGCCATGTGGTTGCTGGGAATTGAACCCAGATTCTCTGGAAAAGCAGCTACTGCTCTTAAACTCTGAGCCATCTCTCTAGCCCTTAATTGTGTATTCTTAATCTAACAAATAATGAGGTATGTTAATTTTCACTTAATTGTGAACAGCTTCATAGAGCCTTAGTTCAGACTAATTTGCTCAGCTAAAATGAAAATAAGAAAACCTTGATGTTTAAGAAAATCCTGGGGATTGCTAGAGTGAGTAAAGGGGCTTTCCCTCTGGCTGGATGACCTGAGTGCTAGCCCCAGAACACAGATAGTAGTAGAAGGAACCTACTCCGGCTGGTAGTCCTTTGAGCTCCACATACCACCTGTATCTCACTCCCACAACAAATATTTTTGTTTTGTTTTGTTTTTTCAAGACAGAGTTTCTCTATGTAGCCCTGGACTCACTTTATAGACCAGTCTGGTCTTGAACTTACAGAGATCTGCCTGCCTCTGCCTTCCTGAGTGCTGGGATTACAGGTGTGCGCTATTACACCCTGCTAATGAATATAAATTGTTAAACAAATTTTTATTTAATCATTTTTAATATATTATTGAACCTCTGTCCTATATCTTTCAACGTTACCTGCTGTTGATAAGCAAATATTAGCTTTAAGTGTGACTCTAGAAGGTGGTTTTTTAAAATAATTTTTATATATTTCTGAATAATTTATTCACTCATATTTAATGTTTTAGTTTATTTCTGCTGTGTATAAGTATAACATGCTTTTAATTTAAATTTAAAATGTAGGGCAACGAGATGGCTCGGTGGGTAAAGATATTTGCTGCCAAGCCTAACAACCTGAGCTTAGAGCCAAGGACCTACTAGGGAGAAGGAAAGAACTGCCTCCCTGAGTGATGGGACTACAGGCTCAGACCCTCCATTCCTAGGCAACACTCCGGACTCTTCCCCTGCTCTTTTGCAAGTGTCCGTCTAACACAGCTTTTGTTTATTTAAGTCGGTCCTCATTAGAATGGAAATTCTGTGATGACAAGGACTTAGTTTTTGTTCAGTGATTGGTCAGTGCACAGAGTAGCTAGCAACAGTGAATGCTTCAGAGTAAATACTTGCTGAATTGATTGTATCTGTGGACTTCGTCCGTATTTTTTGTGAGTTACTTGTTGCCCATTTGTTGCTTTTTATTATATTTATTATATCATACATCATATTCTGACTATTTAAACATGCTTAATAAGTGGCATAACTTTATCAGGAGGACTGAGTGATAAGTTAGTTAACTGTTTACCATGTGCAGTTTTTAAAGGATATCTTTTATTTATTCTTTGACAGTTTTATGTATATATATATGTACATATATAAACAGTTTTTAAGTGAACACCAGAATTTTTAATTTCTTAATTTTTTTAGTATTTTAAAGGGAAAGCCAATAATTTTTTGATTA